GGCCTGGGCTGGGGATTCGAACCCGCCACCTTGGGTGTATGTGGCTGGCGCCTTAGCCGCTTGAGCCACAGGCGCCCAGCCCATAATGTTTTTCCATAGCATTTTACATTCTATTTTACATTCTATGTTTTCATCATTTTTAATTTAAAAATTATTCACATGTCTAACACAAAAAATTGCTATAAGAACTCTAAATATTTTGATAGAGGTCTTATTTTCTTTATGTTTCCAATGTTTTGGCAATAAATTAATTTCAGCATTTGTTTTTGTAACTAACCATATACATGATAAAAACATAGATGCTAATTTTTTTAAATATGCAAAAAAGAAGAAATAATTTTAAAAGCTTACCTCTCCAACATATTTGCCTGGTCTTCAAATATTTCCAACATGATATTCAAACGATGAGTTATTGAATAAGAATTTTCTATAGTAAAAAGTTTAAAAAGCAAAATTTCAAAGGTATTACAAACAGCTAAGGTTATAGTTCCATGCTAATATCACCAACTGCTACAGATATGGAAAACAAACAAGCATAAAGTGAGACAGTAGGCCACATGAGTATTAAAGAATTAAATGGTTATGATAAGAGTTACCATATTATTAAATACCTATCATGTGCAAGTCACCATGTTATTTTGCATTCTCTTCATCTTAAAATGAACCCAAAAAGAAGATGCTGTCACTATTTTCAAATAAATAAATTCAGGCTATCTAACTTCATCTAAACTATGCACCTCATAAGTGACAAAACTGGACTGAGGTCATGTTTATCTGACCTCCGTATGACATGGGAGAACAGAGGACTCTAAGATGCAAAGAGGGCACTTCTTTGGTGGGTGCGGTGCCCTGACTCCAACAGAGCCTGTGAACAGAGACTTGCCAGGCAAGTCTGGGACTGGACTGGGACTAGCAGGTGGGAGTCGTGGGGGTCGTGGTCCTCTGACTCCAATTAGTCTGGCAAGCAGAAGCTAGCTGGGTGTGGACTGAGACCAGTGGGCAGGGGCATGGCCTCTGGCTCCAACTGGGCCTGTGAGCAGAGAAGCAGAGAACAATGTGGACTGAGTCTGGCAGGTGGGGGTATTGATCCTTGACTCAAATTGCGCTGCTAGAGACCCTTAAATCCCTCGCTGTTGAGCAGAGTTTACACTGCCTGAGACAATTTAATTAGAACTCAGGTCTGGGGCTATCCACTCAGGGACATTCTAAGGTTGACCTTTGAAATTCTGTAGCGGAAAAGAACTGAAGGGTGGGGGCTGGGCACCACAACTGTTTGTATCTCTTCACAGCTGAGATTTAAACCTAATACAGTGGCTTCTTAGGATAGGGTAGAGGTTGGCTAATATCAAAACAGAGCTAGCCTGCACTATCTCACCAAGTAGGTTCTCAGAGTCTCTGGTCAAAACTCTGAAAGGGGTCTTCGTAAGGTTGTAGGAGATAAGCCACAATTACAAAGCCTAGCACTTTGGTAAGGAGCTATCTCTACTATCTAGTAACCCCTACTCAATCTCACCCTCCCAGTTCTAATAACCAAATGGTAGAAAATAAACATGGTGTGAATCCAACAGAACTCTGGCAACACAAATAACCAGAATAGATCAACCTGTCCAAGAAATGACAAAGGAGATACAACTGAAGATGCCATGCATAGACAAATGGCAGCAATGTCAGAAATTGAATTCAGAATATGGATGGCAAATAAGATAAATAGAATGGAAGAAAAGATAGAAATTGAATTCCAAAGATTGTCTCAAGAAATTAATGAATTCAAAGACAAAGCCACCAAAGATAATGAGAAAAGAGATCCCAGAAGCTCAAAGAAACAAAAACGGTAGTTGAGGAGCTCCAAAGTACAGTAGAATCCCTCAGTAATAGAGTTGACCAGGCAGAAGAAAGGATCTCTGAAACCAAAGACAAAGCTTTTGAACATTCCCAAATGCTCAAAGAAGCAGACAAATGAAGAGCAAAACTGATCATTCCCTCAGAGAATTGTGGGATCAATCCAAAAGATCAAACATTCATCTTATAGGAATTTCCAAAGGAGACAAGAGTGGTCCTAAGGTACAGATGCTCTACTCCAAGAGATCTCGGAGGAGAATTTCCCAAGCATTGCAAGAGATACAGAACTTTAGTAGACACTTTCAGAACCCAAGTTCTGAGCAAGACTCAATCCAAATAAAGCATTTCCTAGACACATTGTGATTAAGTTGGCCAAAGTTAAGACAAAGGAGAAAATTCTGCAAGCAGCCAGACATAAGAAAAGACATAAGAAAAGCATCACCTACAAAGGGAGAAATATCAAAATGACTGCAGACCTCTCAGCCAAAACGTTTCAAGCCAGAAGAGGATGATCATCTACCTTCAGTCTCCTAAAACAAAACAACTTCCAGCCCAGAATCCTGTATCCAGCTAAACTGAGTTTCATTTGTGATGGAGAAATCAAATACTTTAATGACATAGACATGTTGAAGAAATTTGCCATAACTAAACCAGCTCTCCAGGATATTCTGAGACCCATCCTCCACAATGATCAGATCAATGCTCTACTTCCAAAGTAAACTCATCCAGAAATTTTTGAACAAAACCCAACTTCCACAGTGGTGAAAGGATTAAAAGTATCTACCGGACATCCAGAAATCATGACACTGCAAATACAACCAGGCTTATCAATTCTCTCAATTAATGTGAATGGTTTAAATTATCCTCTAAAGAGGCACAGCCTGGCTGACTGGATATATAAACTCATACCGGATATCTGCTGTATACAAGATCTCACCTTACCTTAAAGGATAAAAATAGATGCAGAGTGAAGGGATGGACTTCTATAATATACAGGCAAATGGAAACCAGAAAAAATCAGGGGTTGCAATTTTAGTTGCAGACACAATTGGCTTTAAACCAACAAAGATAAAGAAAGATAAGGATGGTCACTACATATTTGTCAAGGGAAACACCCAACATGAAGAGATTTTGATAGTTACCAAATATTTATGTACCCTACCAGAATGTTCCTCAATTTATAAAGCAAACCTTAATGGATATGAACAACTTGATATCTTCCCGCACTATGATAGTTGGGGATTTTAATACCCCTTTGACAGTTTTGGATAGATCCTCCAAGAAGAAACAAAACAAATAAATATTAGACTTAAACCTGACCCTAGAACAAATGGACTTTACAGACCACTATAGAACATTTCATCCTAATAAAACTAAATATACATTCTTCTGATCAGCCCACAGATATCATCTTCCAAAATAGATTATGTTCTAGGACACAAATCTAACCTCAGTGAATTTAAAAGTGTATAAATTATTCCTTGTATCTTCTCAGATCACCATGGAACAAAAGTTGAACTCAACAACAATAGGAATCTTCATACTCAAACGAAGTCATGGAAACTTAATAATCTTAGGCTGAATGATAGCTGGGTCAAAGATGAGATTAAGAAGGAAATCACCAAATTTTTGGAACAAAATGATAATGAAGACACAGATTATCCAAACCTGTCGGGTACTGTAAAGGCAGTCCTAAGAATATTTTATAGCATTGGAAGCCTTCATCAAGAAAACAGAGAGGAAGACAAAAACTTAATGGATCATCTTAAGCAATTGGAAAAGGAAGAACATTCCAACCCCAAACCCAGCAGAAGAAAAGAAATAACCAAAATTAGGACAGAATTAAATGAAATTGAAAACAAGAGAATCATTCACAAGATCAATGAAACAAAAAGTTGGTTTTGGGAAAAGATTAACAAAATTGATAAACCTTTGGCCAACCTAACCAGAAACAGAAAAGTAAAATCTCTAATATCATCTATTAGAAGGAGAAATAACAATAGACACCTCAGAAATTCAAAAAATCCTCAATGATTATTACAAAAATCTTTAATCCCAGAAATATGAAAATCTGAAGGAAATGGACCAATAAACAGCCCAATTCATAATAACCAAGACATGGAAATAGCCCAAATGTCCATTGACCCATGAATGGATTAATAAATTGTGGTATATGTACGCCATGGAATACTATGCAGCCATAAAAAAGGATGGAGGCTTGACATCTTTTATGTTTACCTGAATGGAGCTGGAACATATTCTTCGTAGTAAAGTATCTCAAGAATGGGGGGAAAAAGTATCAAATGTACTCAATACTACTATGAAATCAATATATAATCACCTATACATTCATATGAATGGCAAAACATAACTATAGTCCAGAAAGAGAAGCAGAGAGGAATAGTCCAGAAATTAGAAGGGAAGAGGAGAGAGAGGAGAGGGGAGGGGGGACATGAGAGGAGGGAGAGTATTTGGGGGGACCTCACCTAATGTGCTTGATGCAATGGTACATTTCAGAACTATTAAGAAATGAGTATAATTATGATGGATATGTCACTTAGTTCAATGTAAGCATTTCACATTGTATATCAAAGCAGTACACTGAACCCTATAAATGCATCAATGTACAAAGTTATGATTTAATAAAAAAAATTTTTTAAATAAACTAAATCACAAGTAACAAAAAAAGGGGGGGGAACCAACATAATAAGCATCCATAATGAACTCTTAGGGTAATAACACAAGACTCTTCCAATCTTATGACATAAAACATATATGATAGAAGGCTTCCTGCACTAAGTTTTCTGTTAGATTAACAAGATGTGACACTTATGAAGAAAATATTAAATAACATAGAAGTATACAATAAACATCCACTATATTTTTTCTATTCTACATATCAAAAGATTGGTATAGAAAAATATAATTAACATTTAGGACCTGAGAAGAGAAAGGGAGACGGTACAACTAAGCTAAGCCTTAAAGAATGGACAGAATTTCATTAGAAAGAGAAAATGAAAGGCAAACACCATAAACAACCACAAGACAAGTAGAAATGTACAGAATATATTAAGATTACCAAATAAGTCAAGTATATCAAAGAACAAGCCAATGAGAGGTTTTGCTTTGGGAAAGCCAATACTTCTCAAAGATTCAAATGGAATATTAGGAGAAGCCAGCTTCAGAAGAATTAAATTTAGAATTTCTTATAGGCAAGAGAGAGGGATTAAAAATGTTTGCATTATGAAAGATCCATGCCCTTTTCCCCATTACTCGGCCTATGCATCTCTTCATTTGTATCCTTTGTAACACACCATTTACATGAGCACAAAAATTTCAACAATTAGGTATAAATTTTAAAAAATATGTACAAGATCTAAATGAGAGAAAGTAAAATATTCTAAGGAAAGAAAAGAAATCAACTAATAGTTAAACAAATGGAGGAATATTCCATGCTCATAGAACAGAAGACTCAATAATGATAAGATGTCAGTTCTTGGCCAATTTCATTTATAGATTCAAAGCAGTTCCAATCAAAATCCCAGAACGTTATTTTACAGATACCAACAAATTGTTTCTAAAGTTTAC